CAAAAGGTGTCTTGGTAATCCAACATTAGTTAGTCCTCTCCAGAAGAGAAAACTAATTTGCTTAACCTCCAATCTTCAATCAATCAATTAGGTGTGATCATAACGCCACCGTGACCTAGGTCTTCTGGTCTATCCCGTCTGTGCTGCCTTCGGGAGGCTGAGGCATTGCGGTACCTGACAGCAAACGTTGAAAAGTTCTACTACCAGTTTACTCAACGAACGGATTCGCCTCCAACCGCCTTCCAAAACCTACTCACAGACATTCGCATAATCTTACCTAGTATCGCTTCAGGGGGAACTGAGCCATCGAGACCAAGGTGCAAGAAATTGACTTTCCGCGTCTGAATTTCCCAGAAGTCCCAAGTGGGCCAGAACTTTGGCCATTCTCGGCCCGGCTTCTTACTTTGCGCTGACTTGTCATCGTCTTATGTTCTCCGCTTCACCATGAACATTGGTTCTATTCGGACACTCGGTCCAACTTCTCCCTAAAGGGCCGCGGTCGCGAACGAAATCGATGAAGGCAAAAATCAGCAAAGCGGAAAGTACATCCCCTTGCATTGAACGATAGCGAAGAGGCGATTTTGCGCGGCTGATGTCACTGCTAGCAGTGCGGCCCCATATCTACGGACTAATCGTGAAGCTGAACTTGAGATACCGCAAGTACCAGACCGAACTAAGGTGGCCCAGGCGGACTTTGGCCAAGCCTGGGTGTACAGAAACACTCGGTACCACTCTGTGCAGCCAGAATAATCGTGGGAGTTTCTATAACCCCGGACTGCCGGCCGGACGATACTCCACTTCCTGGGCATTTTTTTTCTCAGGCAACGAAACATTTTACAGCTCCTTCTAATATTATCAGCCATAGGGCTGAAAATGCATCGGATATTCCATTTGCACGAAATCTCACGTCAGATGGGGCTTACAAGGCCACATCACCTAAAGGAATACAATTGCCGAGCAATGCAGCATTAGTGCTTCCTTGCTGTCGCTTACTCACACAGGTGACACGAAGATGGCTGCAAACGCTGTCCCCGCATCTTGGCTTCAGGATGAGTACGAAGGTTTCTGGAAGCTTGGCAGGTTGGCTTCTACGACCAGTGCTTTAAGATAGAGCTTTCACAAAGGACATCGCCTTAGTTCATTTCCAGGTCGCAATCTAGACTAAACTCAAAATCATCTCGTCAATCTCACAGCATGGAAATCCGTTGGCTTCTGTTAAACGATGATACGTGCATCCTAATTGTGATATTTACAAGTGATACTGCATCGTGGCGACTGTGTGCCCCGGATTTTGATATAAAGTCGCCTACACGACGGTGTTTAAACTCTTCCCGGGGCCTCGGGATTATTCACTCGTTGGGAGACGGGGCCTCGGGCTGAGACAGAGATCACACTCCGTGTCCGGATCCCCGAAAGCGAGCCCCTCCCCAACACGAGCGGGGAAGATCAGTGACTACCTACTGGCTACTGACAATATCTTGATGCCAAACACGAATAAAAAGCCACCCGAGGCTATCTTTGTCTCTGTTGTTCTTTAGCTCGGCTACCAAGTCCACTGGCGTTGTACTACCTGTAGGCCCTGTCACTAGATCGCCCACAAGGGTCCCAACAAGCCTCTGGGAACCGGTGCGGGGTAGCCGTAGACTGCCATTCCCTTGAACGTTGCGGATGAACTTGTAGCCCCATTGTGCCGAGTTTCCCTTCTACTGTGTCCCGTTGTCGAAGCATAGTGCAGTTGATGTAACCATTCTCCTTAGGCACTCTAGACAAAGTCGGACTTAGCGCCCGGCTATAGCACGCCGGCGTTTGTTGCCCTGATGAAGCGCATTAGTATCTACAAAGGATTCAACGCGAGGTCGCGGGCCTCGGCAGGAATCTGACCCCGGCATTCCATACGCTTTTCGGCAGAGATAAGATCACATCTCGTTGACTCCAAGATCAACAAGAACTTCAAAATACGATTCGTTCAGTAGCACCCATATCGACCAACGAAATCGCACACAGCGGCCAAGCACGTCTCGGACAACTTTGATTTTTGGACAGAACATTTGAAACACATCAGTCAAAATGTCGTCAGAAAACCTACTTCCCAGGCCACCATACGACGCCCAACTGGTCCCGGCCCTGGATCGCATGACGGCTTACCCGCGAGATAGGGATGGCATAGTCCACGGGCGACAACTACGAGCGACCGCAATGGCACCTATGCAAGCAGCGATACGAAACGACGAAGACCTACTTGTAGAGGACCGTAAAATTGCTGGGCCAGACGGAGAGATCCCCATCGTCATCTTGCAGTCCCGGAACCCAAAGACGGCAAGTGGCCAACGCCCAGGCATCGTATTCTATCACGGGGGCGGCATGGTTCTCGGCGATGCCTTTCTCGGGATCCAGCCGTTCGCACGCATAGCAAAGGACTTTGACGCCGTTGTCGTCAGCATAGAATACCGCCTGGCACCAGAGCACCCGGCGCCCGCGCCGCAGGACGACTGCTACGCGGGCCTCCTCTGGACGAGCGAGCACGTGCAGGAGCTGGGCATCGACCCCGCGCGCCTCATGATTGCAGGCGTCTCGGCGGGCGGCGGTCTCGCGGCTGGAGCGGCATTGAGGGCGAGGGACACGAGCGGGCCGAAGCTTTGCGCGCAGCTGCTCGTATATCCCATGCTCGACGACAGGGACACGGGCATATCCAAGAAGCAATTCAGGGACGACAAATGCTTTGACGCGCTGGACAACAACGCTGCATGGGGCTGCGTGTTGGGAGAGAAGGCAGGGTTGGAGGAAGCGGACGTGAGTCCCTATGTCGCGCCGGGCAGGGCAACGGACCTCTCCGGACTGCCACCGGCATATATCGACGTTGGAACCGCGGAGCCGTTCAGAGATGAGAACGTGGCTTATGCTACGAAGCTATGGGATAGCGGTGTGCAGGCGGACCTGCATGTCTGGAGTGGTGGATTCCACGGGTTCGACCTGTTGGGTCTCGCTGTAGGGTCAGACGTCGCCAAGGCTGCCCTCGAGACGAGAATGGGATGGGTCAGGAGACTATTTGGCGCGCAGTAGATGTTTGATACTATGTCAACATCAGGTAGGGTCACCATAAATGGAGAATGGTATGAAGTCAGCATCCCCGTTGTTCGCTCATCGGCTGCCAAGCCTCTTGACTGCGTGTCGTCCCAAACTCTTGCTGCCTCCTGTCTGCAAACAGCTCAATCAAGGGGAAACTCCTTATTCCATCCGGACCACCGGTTGACTTCAAGGAGGCAGAGAAGGAACACTCTCTACGAATGTTTGCTTCGCTGGTGAAACGGATGACAAGAGCCCGTTAACAAAATAACTGAAAGAGCTTGCAGAAACTCAGCCAGAACTTCACAATGAACTTGACTCAGCCACCTATCTGATGGCCACTGAAACAGTCTGACCTTTTCTCGGGTGCGGAAACTGTGCTGCAAGCGGTCAGATATCTCACCTAATTACCCCTTCATCGCCTAGCGGCTCGCCAAGGTGCTGCACGTCAACGTCAGATGAACAGATTCAGAGAAACGACATCTGCAGTGTCCCAAATAAAACAAAACATACGAGCGCAACCGCCGCCGGTCCACGTCAAACTCGCCTTAGTCACAGGCGGCGCGCGGCTGGCTGGCGAACAGATCCTCTCGGAAGCCCTCCCCCTCAAATCTGCCAGTGTGGTGGATAAACCTGACTCTGCCGTCTAAGCGCCAAACAAACGTAGCTAAGGTAGGTCAAAGAGTCACTGTCGACAGGTCTCCAGGCCACCACACGCCAAAGTCGGATGACGGAACCGAATTGACAAGAGCAGATATTCGAACAGTCAGGCAGAAAAATCTCCACAGGGAGGGGTCGGAAATGGAGAAAACATGAGGCAGGAAAAGAGACAGGAAAATCTTATTTGCCCACACATTCACTTGCATCTAGGAAGATGCCGGCGAGCCCGTCAAGAGGTGTGTGCCTCCGTTTCAGGGGTTTGACATGGTAGACCATGATTGCGCGGCTGCCGTCAGTGCGGGGACGATGTCAGTGACGGGGAGAGAAAAAGATGAGAGAAAAGTCAGGGAAACACGATGTGCAGTCTGCAAGGGGAAGAGAAACGACGACCACTCCACAATACTGAGGAGAGGGGAGAAATGTAAGCCTTGACTAGGAAGACACTTCGAGACGCTTTCCGCGCCTTGGCCATCCGGGGCCACGGGCTCCCGTCATTAGTCCAGACGGCACAGCCCGTCTTGCGATCTGCGTCGATCACGGTGATCGATCCGTGTTCCTCGTTTGTGCCTGGCTGCTGCAAGATTGGTGTTTGAGACGTACATATTCCGTGGGCGCGCCCGAACCCCGTGTCAACTTGGTGGAGAAACAGGTCAAGATTCTACCCCGAAACTCATGACCATGGTACCATTGAATCAACAAAAGTCGTGAAAACACATTTGTTGCCCGTCCACGGCACAAGTTCGTCTCGAACCACTCATGTTCTGCCCATGGACCAGTGCGTCCTGGAGATACTGTGAGATATTCCGATAATAGACCAGAACCGGAGCCTTCAAGGGCGACCTCAGGCGTCAGACTCAAGGCCCGAGGTTTAGTAAACAAAAAATTGGCAAAGTAGGCCGAGGTGACTAGATCGACATGGTATGGCGGCGCCTGAATACCTGCTTGGCATCAGAAAGCCAGTGAGTTTCAGACTTTCAGTCCGGTGCCGTTGCTTACACAACAGCATTCGTTATCGGTCCAAAGCATTGGAGTCGGAGATTCATTGGAACATCTTGATGCCATTCGTTCACGCCTGGCGAACATGCGACTTGAAATTAAATGCCTTTTGACAGTTTGAATTAAGCTCGTTCCCTTTCTTCATCCACGAGTGCGAGCTCCGCGTTGCGATAACGAGTCGAACTCTCATGCTGCATACAGAAAGAAAGATTCTTTGACATCCAAGTGGATGGGAAATGATCTTCAAAAGATAGACGGGGTTTAGAATATTCCGCGTGAATATGATTGGCTGTAACCGGCCGGTCGAGGATGTATCTGGCGGCCGACTACGACGGGGAGTCGGCGTCGTCGCCGAGGACATACCGGACCTAGACATAGACGTCTCAAGAAGTGGAGACCCATTGTGTCGATATGCGAGGCGTCAAAGGTAAAATTTAGAATGCTCTCATCCTTTTCCTCCCGAATGATGACTGCCTGGCGGATCAAGGTTCTGAGCCGGGATCCGAAGGGAGGGGACCGGAGCAAGTCATAGTCGCTGGCACGAACGAAATTTGAACGAATCATTCGAGTCTGCGTCGTAAGTTCCATGATGAGCAGTTTTATTATCTCGGGGGCTAAATGGGAACCGGTAGGCATAGTGTAATCGTCCAAGAAATACATGACAATTTGTGTTCATGGTGGTCCCAAGTGGCCCTCATCGATGACCTTAGGCCCAATCCGCTACTATGAGATCTACTAGCCAAGCAAGATATACCATTTCGGGACAATTGGGCATCTCGAAGAATTGGAATCGTTTTTCCCATGATTTTATCAGATCCCATCATCAATCCCACCGGCTCGGCGACATGGACAAAATTAACCAGGCAATCTGGATTCCGAAGGGAAGGGATAATGCTTCGCCGGCAGTGAACTGAGCTAGTCTCTGTACTACCCCAACATCTAGATCAACTCGATTCTTTGGGTGCCGTTAGCGCGGAAGAGTGCCGGTCTGATAAGCAACCCTGCGTTCCAGAGGTCTGGATCCGGACAGGGGGAGGCCACAAGTAGGGCAACTTCCTTGACTGTTGATGATTACTGATTTCAAAATTCCTCGCACAGAAATGCGCTCAATATCCAGCCAGCCAGCTTTCGTAGTGGCTGGCGTGGTCACCGATGGGAACCACATCGCGTCTCGAAGTCTAGATCGACCATTCCATCGGGGACGACGTCTCCCCTCGAGCTCACCACAAAGAAGAGTGCAATTACTTGTTCGGCAAGCTGTAGTAGCAAGAAAGACTAGTCCACATAGCGTAGCTCGTAAGTCAGCTTTAGCTAGCGTACCGAGTGAAGAATCAAAAATGGTTCACGCTTCTTGGGGCCCGTCGTGCCTGTCACCTCTTCATGATTGGTGTGGAACGTATCATCTACGCGAACATGGCCGCATCCGGCGATTCTTACGCCACCGCCGCCTCCAACTCTCGCCAAGCTAGATGCGGCTGGAAGCTATGTAGGGTTTTCGTAAATCGTAAACTCTTTATCGTCATTACTGCTATCGAAGCACCACAGTACCTCAGCAAGACTCAAGCCTCTCCGAGTCGGCGAATCCAGTCGGCCGGGGCGCACCAGTGAGCTGCGGCGAGCCACAAACTAAGTCTAGCTCTTGGAGTCTTCGCGAACACTTCGCTCTTCAGGGTCGAAGACATTGAACCATAGAACTATCCGGCCCTGCTTGTTCTCTCGATAGCCAGCCACGCGGAGAGGCTTGTCAATTCTCAAACCGCGCCATTGTAGCCCTCGAACTGTCAGATATCAGCCCACCGGCTTTGTTGAAGACACTTGGAGCCAGTTCGTAGCGGGCGGGCGCTGGAATACCTTCAAAGTCCGCGTCACACAGTTTTCCCGTTCGGACTTTGTTGGAGGTTTTTTGGTGTCGTTAGTGAGTTCGTTGGGAAGCCCATATCGTTGTGGCATATCCCATATCAATCTTGTCGTGGGAGTACATCCAGATCTTTGCACATCACCCATGTCCTTGGCACGATCACTTCTGAATCAGATTTACGGCATCGAAATTGGTTTGGGAAAGAACAATGCCATAGGCCGTTGAGAGATCGTCACCAAGAAGTTTCACCTGGGATCGTCGGCGCAATTACATCTTTGGCGACTAGGGCATAGTGAAGGCAGTCATACATCACGATGGTATCCGGTAATGAGAGCTTCGGCGCCAGTCTCGAGCGTCAGAGTTGGATACACTATTCAATAGGGATGGCCTTCATCTTCCTCAGAATGTTCGTTCAATAGGCCCCTGTCAGCGGTCGGAAAGGAGCCCAGCTAACATATTTCCTTGATAGGTATGGAAGAGCAAAGAGGTTAGGTGGTGTCTCCAACTTTGAAGCCGACGACTATCTCCAGATTCTCGCAGCAGTATGTTCGACCGCGTGTAGTATCCTCTCAAGAAACTAAACAATCGGAAACTGACCCCTTATCGCGTGTTAGGTGCTCTTCACCGTCCTTGTAGCCCTCCTCAACATTATCACCGACGGAGGCGGCTCGAACCTCTACCCTCCAGAACTAGAAGGAACCTTTACCCAAGCCGAGATCGAAGACCGCATCCACGGCTCCAAGATTGTCCTCGTCTCGGAGCAGGCGATGTTGAACCTCATCTATGTCCTCAAAGCCTGCGTACTGATCCTCTACACCCGCCTCACCCTCAACCTCGCCGCTCAGCGCCTCGTGCGTTGGCTAGCAATGTACGTCGCTCTTGGATGGACCGCGACGCAGATAACAATGTTCGCCGCCTGCCGTCCCTTCAGCGGCTACTGGGCTATGCCGCCACCCGACCCGCAATGCACGACGTATGAGAACTACGCCATCCTCCAGGGCTGGTTCAACATCTCTTCCGACATGCTGATGCTAATGATTCCCCTTCCGCTCGTCTTTCGTATGAAGGTGCCCTGGAAGCAAAAGGTCGTTCTCTTATTCGTCTTCAGCCTTGGCATCTGCGTCATCGTCGCGGCGCTGCTGACCAAGATCTTCAACCTGACCGACCCGTACAGCCCTACGTACATGCTGTGGTACATCCGTGAAGCGAGCGTGGCCGTCTACGTATCGAACCTGCCGCTTGTTTGGCCGCTGCTGAGGGAGTGGTTCCCATTTCTGCGAAACCTCAAGACTGCGGGCGTGCTTCCGACACCGTCTAATCAGGCAACGGGGCACCGGACGAAGCAGGATGCGAACATGTCGTCGGGTGTCACCGTTCACAGCACACACCGGGGGCCTGCGCCTGCGGGGGTGCCAAACTCGAGGAGGCATACCTTTGAGGAGTTTGGGAGCTGGCTCAGCGCTAGTGACCTCGAGCTCCAGAAGCCGGCGCGCGTTTTGAGGTCGACCGCAAGTAGGCGGCACATTTTGGAGGAGCACGATGACGACGAACCTGAGAGCTCAGCTATCGGGGAAGAGAAGAGCGTGAAGAGGGTGTCTTTGGTGGCAGAGTATAGCGTTGGTGACGGGGAGAGTAGCATGGGATTAAGTCCAGCGCCCCAGCTTTCGCCTTTGGAGACCGATCACGGCATGATCGATTGGGAATATCAGCGTCAGAGTCGGTTCATGCGTAGGTCAGGAGCGACAAACTCTACCGTGGGACATGGTCTGCTTGCTTCGGAGGAGCGAGACCGGAGTCAGGGCGCAGCGAGTTGACCAAGTGAGAACTGACGTTAGGCAGTCTCTCTGCGGGATAGGCAATGGTTCGGGGTTGGCTTACTGGCGTCTATGTTGGGTTCATGGTTTGGGGATACCCTGGGACTGCTTTCACGGCGTTACATTGTAGTTATCGACATGCTAGGAGGGCCGGCACTCAGTCTGGCCGAGTATCTGTGCTCAATGATACTGATTATTCTCGATAACATACCATGACCCAGATCGTTGTGCAGTCGTTAGTGTCGCCATTGGGGATGGTCAATAGACGGAACTATGTCCGCCGATTCGCTGCGCTGTGCCAGGGAGTCATGAAGTTTGTAAGAAGTATTCGTATTCGCGTGCCTCAAAGGGCAATGGTATCTATGAAAGGCATGAAGAACAAAACAACAGGGGTATCGAAGCAATTCCAAACATCGCGCAACATCTTTCCGTCTTCGGCTCGTAGTCGTACTATTCGCATGTCTCGTCAAGTTCCCGGCCGGCGGGATGTTCCTTATGCAGTACTCCCATCCAACTTGCGGTTCAGGCATTCGTCCAGACCTGCTCAGTCCAACCAACTCCAAGTGCCAGTGACCCTGCCTTCGTCCTTATTGGCCAATTTGTTGAAAACCGCCGGGCTTAAATCGAGATCGGTTGGCGCGCAGCCGGTGCATCGATCCACAACGGTGACATCCACCGATCCCTCGCCATCACGCCGGACGCGGATCTTCTTGCCGCATAGCGGGTTATTGTTCGGATTGCCGCCGCTCTGCACGTCGTCCCACAGATAGTGCGAAACCGAGACAATCATGTCGCTGTCGCTGCTCGTCTTTCCGCAGGCGCCGAGCCCGGGAGCATAGTACGTGAGATCACCCGTGTGAACGTCTTGGTTGTTCGGAAGCGGTAAATCTTGCTTTCCTCCGCCACGCTTAGAGAGACCGAGGCCGAGGGCTAGAGGGAGGATGAGCAGGAGCAAGACCGCTAGGGGCAAGACAACGAAGAGAAGGAATCGCTTTCGAGAAAGGCCAAAGTAGGTCTTTTGTGGCGGGAGGAGAGCATCGAAGCGAGCTGCTGGGGAGGGATGGGCCTTGGATGCTGTCGTTGCGCCTGTAGCGGCCGCCGCGCCGGTGGTAGGAGCGGTCAGATGGGCGTGATCATCTGAGCGTTGGGTATCCTCTTTCGCGAAGCCACCTTCGTTCGTCGCCGTGGGAGCAGCAGTGGTGCTATTGTCGCGTTGGTGGCCAGTCGTCGCTGGAGCGAAGCGATCAAAGAACGAGCGACGCTTGTTGGCCGTGGGGGTCTCCCAGTCGGGGGTCTGGTAGGTTTGCGCCGGGCGCTGGATGCCTTGTTCCTCGTCGGTCATTGTAAGGGTGAGCGATTGTCGCAAGATGTTTCAATGCCGCAGGAGCTGTTGTGTGGTACTGTTGAGTCGTCAAAGACGAATCGAGGGCATTGTTCGTGATCAAAGACGCTGTGTTGTGGTGTTTTGGCAGGTTATAGGAACAGGTGAAGCTGTCTCGTATGCGCCAGAGAGGGATGTGAGCGATAGGTAACAATGGTAGGGAAGAGCAAGAAAGAGAGGATGACGCTGGTAGTGGCAGTGATACTTTCGCCAGCCTGCAAGGTCGCCAGCCTGTCAGGTCCTCGGGAAACCCTGATGACGAGGAAAGCCGGCGAACGGCAACTGGTTGGCGATGGCGATGATCTCCGTCCTTGCCGCCCGCCAGGATGGGAAACTTGATTTCGCGATGATTGTGGCTGGTGGGAACGAGGGGCACGTTGCAATGCAGGGGCAGTCAAGGTGCACCTTAACGTGCTTTAGGCCGAGGTGGCTGGAGCCTTCTAGCCGTACTGGGTATAGCCTCCGGTACGTACTGTTGTGGACCTGCAGAAGCGTGGCTGGTGGGGCAAACCCTCCTTCCCTGATTTTGGCAACCGCCACCCACTCTCACCACCGCTTCAACTCAAGCTCATCAATCATTGAGTGCTTTATGAAACTCATGAGACTACTAGCAGCCGAGAGTTCGACTTCGTGGGTCCAATAAGTCGAGCCAGCTAACCAGTATACACTCATTCATTCCCATCCGATGCTTAAGAAAACTTCACCTGGCCCGACTGCCTGCATGCAGTGCCCCGCAAGAACCGTTTCCTTGTCCTAGTTGAAGCAACTGAAAAGTGCTTCTTCTTTCAGTTATGGAAATCTTCAGTCTGAAGTCTCAGGTCATCTTCTCTCAGTCGAACATGTTGATCGATCGTTGTGGAATACTGTCTCTCTTATGTAATGCCGCTCTTGAGACACAGTCCATGCACCTCTCTGGTCATCTCAAGGAGTGTCGGAATTACTAAGAGAGACGGAATTGATATACGCTGAAGAGTAAACTCTTGCTCTCCTTTATCGCTTTTCAACTCACAGTCTTACTCTCACTTCGCTCGACCTCCCCTGCACAATTCTCTTCCGTCTCCAAGGAGCTGTGTCTCGCATTCAGCTCTCACATGAACCATCACCAGGGGTATTATCGTGATCGAACAACGGTTTCCTTCTCTCATCAATAAGTCCTTGGAACCTCAAAGCTCGACTGTACGCAGAGAGAGATAATGATTGCACTGTTCAACAAGCGCTGGTCTTTCTGATGGTGATGTTGGATGCCTAGCGTTCATCTCACTCATCCTCTTCAAGATTTCTTATATCAAGTCACTTTAATTGCCCACGCGACATCGTCCAATTTGTACATTCCCTATGATAAACCAAGAAACTTCCGATACTCCATCAAGGTTCATTCACCGGCCCAGTTGCAATCATTTCCTATAACCACATAGTTGCAAACCATCATGTTCTTCAGCTGCCGCGCCAAACAGCCCACGCCTCCGCCGCCCCGGCCGCACTGCGTCTACTCTGGCTGCGTTCATAAGGTCTTGAAATGCGAGGCACCGGCCAAAGCTAAGCGCATTCTCTCCATCTTTTGCAAAGATCGTGGGTTCAGTCTCCGCAGCCTGCTGAAGAGCCCAGTCTAACGTCATCTCGAGATGCCTGCCGGTCACGTACTGGTGAGAAGATGTGTACAAACCCCAAACAGGCTGGTTTATCTAAGTACTGCGAAGATCGTACGTTGCATTGCCTTGACCCAATCATCTCTTCGACTGTTTGTATGTGGTACTGATCATGTTCATCTGGGAGAAGACGGCCGCTGCCACTGCCAGGGCTGTACCAGCCAGCGCATTTTCGCCGACGCAAACCAGGACTGGCCATATTGCCAAAGCCGTACGTTTCTCGTGACTTTCTGATCCTTCATGTCGCATTACCCATCGACCCTGATGCTGATTCAACCGCTTCTCTGGCAATGCAGATACTTGCGCAACCTACGGATGCCACAATAAGCGGGCCACCAACTCCCAGATGTGCAGCTTCCACACGCCTATTTGCCTTATTCCCGCCTGCGGTCACCCGCGCGTCGGCGACGGCCTCTACTGCCCGAGTCACAGCTGCACCGACAATGGCTGCAACAGCGTAATCGACGGCGGCAACTGGTGCAGAGATCACCGGCTCTGCAAGACCGCGGGGTGTGACTCACTGAGAGTCGTCTCGCCCGGTGGAACACACGAGGAAGTTTGCTGGTTCCGTGAGTCTTCATCCACCGGGCCCTGAGTATAGTCATTACATTTAAAGCACGGGAAAACTCACATGACAAACGCCTCAGATTTACCGACAGCTTGCAAAGCGTCAGCCTGCGGAGCCGTCGTCAGCGGCGGCGTCCACTTCTGCCCCCAGCACGAGTGTACATATCCGCCATGTCGAGAGCGCAAAGACAACGTAACAGATGCATCAAGACTCTACTGTGCCAGCCGTAAGATGACATACTCAGGCCTACCCTCTTTCACCCAAAAGCTTGCTAACAAAAACCTCCCTCGCTCGCTAATCAGACACCTGCCGTGCCCAAACCTGCCCCCAACCAGCAGCAGACCTCGCGAACCCCTCGAAACCGCCACACCAACCGAGCTTCTGCGTAGCGCACAAGTGCGCAGCAAGTCCAGAGTGTCCTCACCCTTCCAAACCGTCTAGCCGCCGCTGCGCACTCCACGCCTGCCTGCACCCGTCCTGCCCAGCTCCGCGCGCCGACGATCCGCTCCTCGTCTCCGCGAGCCAGTTCTGTATGAGCCATGAATGCCGGGCTGCCGGATGTCATTGCGCCGCGAGATCGAATGGGAGTTTTTGCGACGCGGTCCACGCCTGCGTCGTTCCCGGGTGCCCTTCCCCGCGCGGAGTTGGAACCGGTGGGCAACTCGGAGCCGGTGGCCCCGGATCGGTATGCTGCGCCTTACACACGGCCATGATTGCCCGCGACACCGCGGGCTGGAGTACGGCTACCGAGCGCAAGAGCATGCCCACGCCGCCTTCCTCTCCGCTACCGCAGAGACAGAAGCAGAAATTCCCGTATCTCAGTCAGACGGAGGAGGCGCTGGGAATGCGGTTCAGGGAGGAGAGAGAGAGGCATGATCAGGAGGCTAGACTTGCGGAGGAGACGAGGGCTTGGCATGCTGTTACCACGGCTTCTGCTGCTCGCGGCGGAAACGGTGATATCGAGGTTGTTGGGGGTGTGCCATTGCCAGGAGGGGTCGAGACGAGGGGCAAGAGGCACAAGGCCAGGAGAAGGGGGAGTTATGATAGTGGGGTCGCGCCTAGTCCGACTGTGAGTGAGGGAACTTCACCGAGTGACTTTACGTTTGTGAGTTGAGGATTGTGTGGAATACGAGATGAATAAAGCCTGGATAATCCAGGACAGTAAACGATAGAGCAAGAAGGGAGGGGGAGAGAGAGAGAGGCAAAGAGAGAGTGAGAGTATTGGGAGACAATCATAGAGACTCGGCATAGACAGTGCCGGACGGTCATCTGCTTCGATCGGCACTTGGGAAACAGTCTTATCCACAAATCATTCTCTAAATTTTCTTTAATCTAAGGAACGTATGGCGCTAATACTGCTTTGAACGAGCGGACGGCTTCATAGACGAAACCAAACGTAAAGCAAATAACGAAGCACTCTGACCAACAACTCTTTCAAGCGGCAGTCTTTCAAAGAACGAGATACACCAATTTTCAAGATCCATACAAGCAAATGACAGAGGTTGTTATACATAAGCACAGACCTAGCTGTTGAATGGAAACTTGGTATCGAGGCAACGAGGTAAGGGGTCGGCTCGCGCCATCCACTTACGCAGCGTTGCCGTCTTAACTCTGAATCAGACACCTCACCGCGTCTTTCCAGGTGCAAGAGGGTCACAGACGAGCCAACAGAAGACCACCGGGCAGGAACCCGGCCTCACCATCGATCCAGACTGGCCCCCTTAGCCTCGGGGGATCCACCTAGGCCCACGCTCCGACAAGACTCATGCCAAAGGCGCCAAAGAAGACGAGCACGCAAGCCCAGACGCGCTTCGAGCCCCTCAGGACACGCCAGCTCTCGTCGGAAAGGAAATCCTCAGCCAGAAGCTCAATCAATGCGGCAAAGACGAGCAACCCAGACGAGATGGCATTCATGGTGCCGACGAGGATGAGGCCAAACTCCGAGTCCGGGCTGTAGAGTCGGTGAGTCGCGAGACCGATGGCCTGGCCGATGGGCGTGGTGCAGCCGTAGGCAAGGGCCATCATCCAGGGCTGGAGGCTGCCCTGGGGCCAGTCAATGTTTGCGATGCGGGAGCCGAGGGCGAGACCTTCAAAGGTCTGATGGAAGGCGATTGCGATGAGGAGGATGACGAACTCGTGGCCGACGGAGACGGAGAGGGTCATGCCGATGAAGACAGAGTGGAAGAGGATACCGACTTCGAGCATCATGCACTGGAGGATGTCCTTTTGGTGCTGCTGTGCGGGGGTCAGGACGATGCCGCCGTTGGAGTTGACTTGCACGGCGCGGTTCTCCTCGTCAACGATGACGCGCTTCTCAACGCGCTGCTGTTGCTGCCCCTGATCGGTTTCATCGCCAGCCTCGGGTTGGTTCGGGGCGAGTACGGCATCATCGGGTCGGCAGCACATCTGGCGGGCAGGGGAAAAGACCATCTCGATGATGGTGACGAGGAAGATGCCGGCCAGGGCGATGGCTCCCGGCATGGCGGGGTAATCCTCGACCCAGAAGGAGCTCAGGCATGGGTTGCCGAGAAGGGTGAAGGCCGTCGGAAGGAGGTGAACGAAGGCGGTGGCGAGGAGGACGCCGGTACCGAAGTGGCGGACAGCGAAGAAGAAGGGGCGGGGGATTCGGATGGCGGGAATACTCTTGGCGATGAGCGGGAAGGCGCAGGCGAGGAAGGAGGTTGCGAGGATGATGAAGAGGGCGCCGACGTGGAGGGGCGTGTTGTAGGCATCTTCGTCGCCGAGGCCGCCGGTCGGGCAGGTTGAGCGAGCAGTAATGCGATCGTGGTCGTGGGTGTGGGCGTGACGCTTGGTGATGGCTTGGGATATTGTCAGCTTACATTGTATTGAGGCATTGGTGGTGAATAAGAAGGAGTAAGGGGAGCCTAAGTGAGATGAGGCGCAATGGGATGAGATGAGATGGAATGAGATTCGTATCTTGATACATGTGCGCAATGGGTTGATGAGGCCCCGTCTTTCGAGAGACTGTGATGAAGAAAGATCAACTTACAATGAGTAGTTTCTTTGGTCGCGACAAGGAAAGACGCGACAGCCTCGGGGCTCTTGAGGGCAGAGATGATGGCTGAGCAGCCAATGACGGACATGATCCAGCTCACCCAGCCCCAGAGGGCGGAGCGGGCGGGCGCAGAGGCCCAAAGGAGAGGTGTATGGTCATCACCACCATGCACCTTTTTGTTTCGGGGATGGAAACCTGGGGAGAATTAGTATGCGTTTAAGAATGTTGTGTGTGGTTAAATGTCGTTGAAGATGCCGGCCGATGCCGCATGCACACCGAGAGTGGTGAGTGAGGTGAGTGAGGTGAGTAATGGGAGAGAGGAAACCCTGATGTCGTTGGTCGCAGTCTCCGCATCATCGCACTCGTAACACCCCCCAACGTCGTTGAACAATAATGTTCAGGATTTCTTCATAGGAACTCAAGACTCACCGTGTTCCCACCCTCCCGAAACGCGTAGCCTCCGATCGGGCTGCAGACGTGGCAACGTCTGGTAATTCATGTCGTCACCCCGGCCGTCGGATCCATCGCCGGCGCCGCCCCGGGCCCTGCGTTGCTCGCGGGCGTTGGCAATGCCGTTCAGATCCTCACAGGTGGTGAGGTCGGCAGACAAGAAGGGCGGGTTCTGGTTCCAGTCTGGATGCTCCAGCGTGATGTCGTCGTTGCGCGAAGGGCAGTTCATCGTGGGCGAGAACGACCTTTTGCTGTGGTTGTCTTTCTACGGGGGGAACTGGAGTCCTTTCGTTGGGTCGATTGGAACTTGTCTTCGTTACTGTCTACTTGCTGTCGGTCTCGATTTGGTATGATTTGATGTGGTGTCTAGTTTGATTGGAATCGTAAGAGGATGGAGTTATGAGAATAAGGAGATGGAGATGGAATCACACGAGTCAATCTTTCGAGGTCACTGGGGATCAAGGTACCTTAGTACCTCGAGGTCGTCAATTTGGGTACCTTGAGGTAATGGTGGGGGCTCGCTGTGGTGTCAAGTACTTCCACACCCAACTACATATGAGTAGTGACATCCAGTCGCTGTTCTCTTCGCAACCTTGAGGGAGCCGGGTGCAGCAGGGCCCCAAGCCTCAGGGGGGAAGGGGAAGAGGAACCTTGAAAGACCTGGCCCGACTGGCTGTCCCTAACTGTGCCGTCTTCGGGATCTAGAAATTTTTAGGGCAGCGGGGCGGGAACTTGCTTCGGCCAAATGCGGAAGCGAGTCACACAGCCAGTCTCAGCCTCAGCATCACTCATTCTGTAATCCCTAAGTACCTACTTACATCAAGGCGATTAATGAGAATGAAAGCCGTGTTTGAACGTGGCTGCCGGGGCCGAGGAGGGGCTCCTGGGCGGACGGAGGACTGTGCCGGTGGGACTTTGCACTTCATGCTCGTAGTGTAAGGTACTGCGTAAACCGTAAACCCAATCTTCGTACCGCGAAACTCGGACACCGATGTTGACTAGAGACTCTCGGAAGACGGCAATAGGCCAGATACTTCGGATGTTCAACTTGAACACTGCTCAGGCTTGCTGTAGTCTGTTCATCATGACTCTCATCCCCTCCTCTCAGTCATTCACTCAAGGTGACCTGTGGTGGGCTTGGCTGACGATGGTGACCTCGTTGCGTATCACCGCTAGCAACCCAAAGTCCAATCATTAACACCCTCTCCGTAACCTCTTCGCGCCGAGGATAAACAAGTCATCACCACTACCGGCAATGCATATATCCCCCCTTTCCCCCCAAATCTCAAACCGTTTGCCCGCATCACTTAGACCCCGCGAAAAGAACGTCACTGCATATAGAGTACCCGGTTCTTCCCATAGTCGCATTGCCTACCACCCAGTGATGGGCGTTCCCGCTTACCCCATGGGGCTGAATGCTCCCGCTCTATTCCGAAGCTCAGGCCGCAGGACTAGAGATAGCCGACAGCGACAGATAGCGGATAAGTCAGATTCAACTCCTTCTCCTCCGTGGCTGCGGTTGGCCGCTGCTTCGAGTGTGCTCGATTTCGTGTCTTGACTTTGACTGCAATCTCTGCTTCTCTCGCTGTGACGAGGCCAGGTGTCATGCCCTGAAAGGTGCCCAGGCCTCAGACCGCCCGGTGCGAGGTTAGAGACGCGTCAGTTGACTTGGCCCTGGCTTCTTGGCTGCACCTTGGCCACTGGTCACCGTTTCTACAACGTAGTGTAATTTCAGCCCTTGAGTCTTGGCCTTGGGCTACAGCCAACAGGTCACACAACTGTGTCCGGTGCCGGAGTGGCTTCGAGTGACTCAAAACTCATCCGAGTAGAGGGCAATCGGACCCGGAGATGGAGCAGAACCAGCAAGTTGACCCGGGTCAATTGCGTGTCGCCGCGAGTCTTCGGATCCGAGAGCCGTCTTGTCATGGGGCCATGTGCTTGCCCGTGACCGAATGCTCGGAGACCGGCGCCGGTTCGATGTTAACTGCAATGATGTCTCGCCTTTTTTCGGCTACCATACAGATAGCTGCAATTTTTTTCGTCAAGGAAGGAGGCATAAGGTGCCAAAGATATGAGGATCAAGTTGGGCTGGAAATGACACTCTTCTTGATCGTGCAGTTGGGCGAAGGAATGCTTAGACACACAGCACTGGATGATCTCGAAATCAGGAAAGATCGCAGCGAAAACCAGATCTGGGCCGCTGGGTTCTCAGATCAGGTACGTACTGAGAGTACGCCACTCATCATCAAGGTTAGCTTGGTCCCAAAAAGAAGATTACATAAGAGCTCTGTGCTCCCTCAAAGATGAACCAATCAGTGACATTCCGTTAGTCATGTCCTTCCGATCACATGAGTGTGAGCTAAAGTGGCAGGGAGACCGTAATAACTTTTGTAACCTGAGCTAAGGAAGATTAACAGGAAGCGGGATGAAATTGCGAACCTTACGGGCCATCTCGAGCGGTTCATTTGCACATTGTTCAAGTCATTGGGAGCTAGGTTACATAGGGTGTTCCGATGATCGACCACTACTTTGAGTAAGGATTGTGAGGTGAGTTGCCCTTCACCGGTGACATCCTGATGGCATGCTCACCAGATCTCACTGGGAAGGGCGGCTCTGTCATAGACCTCAACTCAGTCAAAACTTTGACCTCAATTAGGGACTTGTCTTCCGAGCTACTCTTGAAAGAATGATATCGAATATTGAGGGAATCGATGACCATCTCTCACCAGGGCCATGAAGGTTACTTGGACTCCAGGTTTCGTTGGGGTGAGCTCTGCACTTCGGTACCATGCTGTCTATGAATCTGCCATGATTCATCATCACCAGATAGAGCTCATCGAACCGTTATTGAGTACAGAGACTTCATGGATCGATATTTGCATGAGATGTCACGATACTCTCAGTTAACTTACGACTCACCTTCATGTCAGATGCAATGAGATATGATCACTTTACCAACATCCCTCATCGGATTTCGAATTGAATACAATTCTATTCCTTGTACTGAGGCGTGCGATCACGGTGTGCTAGTGCCTCTTGACGATGCTTACGATGATCAAAGACATCTCGTCTAGTTACCTTCTGCCATCATCGGCGATGGATCTGGTAAGATAGATCATAGATCTAGCTCTTGAGTGTCGTAGGCAGTTTTTCGTGTAGCAAAATGAGACAGCTGACATCTGTTCGCAATATCACCTTGAATCAACGCAATCATGTTGGCAGGCAATGAGTGAGTTGAATGACTATGAGTTGCCGGCCGATGCCAGAGCTTGTGCCTCGATGTTGTGGTAGATGTTTAGGCTACTTGAATCGCGTGGGCTTCGGCTTAAGGTTCGGAATTCCCCGAATGTTCACCGGACTATGTTTGAGGCCGCCGTGATGCTACTTAGGGCGGCGCAGGGCCTCTGGTATAGAGGAATCGCTACGAAGCTGTTTATGATTGTTGACGTATGCTTGCGATAGAGAGCGAATCGAATGCGATGGGTGGATGTGCCTTGACGAGAAAGATACTTCGGACGTCCCACATCTATCCTTCCGGGCATAGCACGAGAATCTTGGTTAGGCTAGGAACTACTGAAACTGGCTCACTCGAAAGGGGTGATGAGTTGAGAAGTCGCTCTAGTTTTGTCACGGGCTGAGTGTGGGCGGCTGAAGTCCCTAATAGACACTATTAGCCATCGGAGAAATAGACCTCATCGAGATGTCACACTTAGGATGGCGACATGAGTTCCCTAATATAGGTAAACGGCGGCGATTGCGGTCTAAATTGTCTTGACCGGTGCCCTGTTGTCGGGCGCTGGCTCAGAGCCCGATGGCCTGGCCGGAGATCGGGCGGGATTCTGACCGGACTCTCGGAAAGCTCCTTCGTGGTGGCCCTATAAGTACCCCCATAGTATCTCTTCCCAGCAGCTGGTATTGAATCTTGAATGGTTCTCGTTGGCCTTCTGTTGAACATGACTCGATGCATCCCCCAGCTGCAGAGCTGTTCTCTCCGTCAGGTCGTCGACATCAACGGAGACTTTTTCACGATGATAACTTCACTTGGCCAACCTACTCCGACTTACACCAAGAACTGGGGAGACTCTGATTGATATGGATACCCTGCTCAACAACAGGACCATTGGGCGACGAAGGGAATAACGTGACACAAAACAAGTCATGGTTTCGACAACAAACACTTCTTCCCTTGAAGGGGGGCTCACCCCGCAATTTATCCCCCGCCTAGCGTCGATCCCGAGCCCCGACCAAGCGCTCCCCATGTCTTCAAAAGGCCATGTATCCCGCGGGATTCAACTCTCTTCATTCCACCCCCGCAAAATCGTACGGTCGTCTGCTCACCCGCTCCCATTCCGGCAAGCAAACCCACCGCCAACGGCCCATTCAGAGTCGATTTGATTACTCTCCGAGGTAAAGGCAGAGAGAAACGTCAACAGAAACAAGGGCACAGTCACACACCGCAATACACCTAGGAGATACCCGAACAGATGGGCTCACAGTCGGATGACACTCGGACTTTTGCGTAGACCTCGGCGGGCGAGAGAGGATACGAGTAAACATAAGGCTCCGGTCCCCTCCTCCGGCGGCCGGGACCGTATATGAAGCCCCGACGCTGCTGTGACGCCTGCCGGCGGCGTCACCGTAAATGTGTTGTTCAACCCGGCGCGACGGGTTGCGGCGCCTGCTTCGAGGCCGATCTCGAATGTCACTTTGACACGACGTTACGCTTTAAGCATGCGCCGGGTAGCTCCAGAAAGGCAGCTCTCTCCGGGGACAGAGTTCAGAAGGCGGATCACCGAGGTTTGACTTGACCTTCCTTTCTCAGATGATGCTTTACCGCGCCCAACCTTCCCGTCGGGCCCTCCGGGTCTTCTGCTAGCCCCCTCCTCTCCGAGGTGACCCTTTCAGCTTTTGCTTCTCGCACACCGCCTCGTTTTTGTTCATTTGCCGATCACTCAATCCCTCCATGCAGGTCAGGAACTTACTCTCTCTGTCCAGCCCGACGCAAGAGCGAAGTTAGTCGTGTAGACGACGCAGCATCCGAGGCATCCTCATCACCGGCCGTCCAGTCCGTTCGTACAGCGGGCGACAGAAGTAACAGCTTTACATCTCACCCATCCCCGCACGGCTTGACGCCATATGAAGGACAGCTCAACTTCGGCTACTCACCGCCGGCAACGCACGCGTTCCGGGCCGAGGCCCCGGCACAACGATTCACCGGACATGGATCTCACGGCGATGGTAGTGCGCCCATCGGCTTTGTGTTGAACAGCGGGCCGCCGCAGGAAAGCCAACAACACCGGGATAGCCTCACATCAAGCCCCGGGTATCTCGACTCGGCGCGAGATGGCACCACTTCGGATAGCGTACAGTGGCAATCTGGAGAGGTCCAGCCACAGCTCCAGATTTCATATCTCTTAGGGGACTCGCCGTCAACGCAGGCCGGGTCTTCACACCAGATTGCCTCGGAGCGTGCTGAGAGTCTCATTTCGGATGCAGAATTCCGTATTCAGCCCGTGGACCCCGAGCATTGCGGATTTACCGGACGCCAGGCCTTCTTGTTTCGCACGTATATCTTGAGAATAGCGCCTTCAGTGAGTGTTCTCTTACACCATTTCCGTCCTTTTTGGCGAGGATACAATAGCATCTAATGATCCCAGATTGATGCGTGTCACGATGCTCGCCCCTTCACCCTTGACGTCCCCCGTCTCGCCCTTCGCAAGCCAATCTTGCTCAACGGCATCTTCGCACTAGCCAGTCGTTTCGATACGCAGGGGAACGACGACACAAGCGAAAAATCGGACTTGGAGAGCACGTACTACCACAATCGCTGCATCGAACTGCTCATCGAAGCTTTCTCCCAACCCCCAGAGACATGGGACTCGATTCTGCTGACGGCTGTCGTGATCATGCGGCTCTACGAAGAGTACGACAACGAGACAGACTCCCACTACCATCACCTTCGAGGCACGAGGAACCTGCTCAATCACGACGCCATTGCCCGTTTCGTGACGCAAGGCGGGCTGGCTGAGGCCGCGAGTTGGGTCCACCTACGACAAGCACTCTATGTGTTCCTAGTTCGCAGGACGCCAATCGAGATTTGCCTAGAAAACTTTGAGAGGTCTTCTACGTTCAGAAGCAACGACGACACAGCGCACGCGAACCGAATCGTCTATCTGTTTGCGAAAGTGCTGAAACTCTTCTTCCCGGAGGACGGATCGGGATTTAGCACAAGCAGCTCAGAGACTTGGGAGGAGTTGCAGAATGACGTCGACGTGTGGTTTAAAGAGAAGCCACTATCTTTCCAGCCCCTTTTCTATGAACGGGCGGATGTGGCCAAAGGAAGACCGTTCCCGACCCTGTGGATGGCCGCAGATCCAGGTATGAACCTTCACATAATAAACGCTGCTCTGTTCCTCTTGACTTTATGGAGTAGGAGAGTCACTGACAGCAAGGCCCATGCAGGCACCGTTGCACTCGGGTACTACTACGCTTCGAAAGCGATATTTTCCTTCCAGGATTACAACAGCTCAAATCCGACAGCAGGATTCGAGGGAACGAAGAAGAGGATGGACAGCGAGGTGAGTTGCAGTCGAAAGAAACGCATGCACTCGACTAAACATGACACAGCGTGAAATCACGTTCTATTTATGTATGCTCATGGGCTTGGCCCGGTCAAATGAGGCTGTCAACGCATACTACTTGCCCGCACACATGCTGTCTCTGTGTAAGTCAATCGATACGATATACCTGCTAGCCCCGTGACCCTAACACTTCTCTCAGGCGGCCATTTGATAAGACATCCCCTCGAACGAGAACATACAATCAAGTATCTCGCACAAGTAAGGACCATCGTCCAATGGAAGACAGGGGCGTTGGTAAAGACTTTGAAGGAGCAATGGTCACAACTTGATAGCTTTCAATCAAGATGATTCGATTTCACTGGCTATGTGTCATGGTCATTGTCGACTCTATCTCTTCTCTTCACACATTTTTGCATCGTAGATGCGTGCGTCGGGATGTCCTCGGCGTCACGCGCAATGGCCCCGGTCGGATCAGACGCCATCGTTGAAGCTGTAATGCTTATCCCAACGCTGCTGTTTATTAGAGACGTTCTTCAAGTAAAGCATCGCAAGCAGGCATAACATGACTTACAGTATCCCATGGGCGGCGCTTGTCGACAAAGCGCAGATCCGTTCCAAGTCGGATGCGCCCCTCAGGGTCGTAATTCTTGGTCGAAGCATGAATCTAGTATCGTAGTCAGCAATCTGCAAAAATACTTCCTGATGCAAATGCGGAAGAAACATACCATGTGTGCCGAATGGAAGACAACATCGCCGGCCTCGTACGCGCTCACCAGCCACTTCTTCCCATACCGCCGTCCAAAGTCCGCCGGCCCATCACACAAGAATCCAGTGCTCATCATATTCGCATTGAACGCATTTTTTGTCTCCTCATCGCTCATCCCGGCTGCCTTTGCCTTCGTTGTAAACTCGTTTTCAATCTCTTCGCCAAGCTTCTCGCCGTCCTGCATGTAAATCAACCCGCCGCCCTCGAGCCGGACGTCTCCGATCGGCACCCATGCCGTCACGGACGTCGGCTCGCCGTAGCGCATGAAGGACTGGTCATAGTGCACGCCAATGGCCTTGTTGCCTGGGGTGTTGTTGCGGAGGAGCGTGCGCTTTACGGTGAGGGTGTTTTCGTCACCCCAGCCCGTGAACTCGGCGACGAAGTTGCGGAGGACCGGGTGGTTGCAGAAGCCCCGGACTGAGCCGTCATCGGAGCCGGCATACCAATCCTCGGTATGCGCCTTGAGCGCCGCCTCGGTGAAGATCTCGGAGCGGTCTGTCTCGCCCGGCGCCGCGTTCTTGACACTGCCGGCGCCGATGCCTGGGTAATCCGCGGCTGACTTTGCGTCGTCGAAGATGCCTTCTCGCGGAGACGTGCCGGGCTTGATCACGCCTGAAGGGGCGAGGGAGTTGAAGTATGATTCGCGTGCGGAGAGCACGTCTTCGCGGGGGATGAGGCCCTTGATGAGAAGGTAGCCGTGTTGACGGTACCGTTGGCGGAGGACATCGAAGTCTTCTGTGAGGTGGGATTGAATGAGGGGTTCGACTTCGTTGGCGGAGAGGAGGTCGTCGTTGACGTGGAGTTGGACACCATTGATGGTAGGAGGGGCATCAGGCGTAGGTGATTCAGCGTGAGGCATTGTGAAGATTCGAGAGAGTTTCAACAGAGATATCTACTAGTTATGGCGTCTATAATGCGTGCGGGTTGAAATACGGAGTGTTCGTGATCAGGATACAGCACTTTGAGAAAGTGAAAGAGACATGAAATCAAACTCGCAGGATCGCAGTCATCGCTCAAGAGTTCTGAATCCCCTTATATACCCTCCGTCATCCACATCTCCAGGTCCCTCATTGGGGAATTTCGTCGCCCAAGAGTGGCGTCCTCACGTATCCACGAGCATCTCGTGAAAGGGAATATAACCCGCGGGAAACCCATAAGGCAACTAGCCGGCGGAAAATTACCGAATCAGGCTTAACCGGCGGGAACGCTGGCCAACCCTCATCCCCATCTTTCCCATCTTTCCCCGCATTTCGTGCATTTTCGAAGCAAATCCGGCCCGCGCTTGACGTTGTCACTGCTCCACCTTGCCTTTTACGGACAGCCGGAACGCGGGCTCTGCCAGATTAGCGACCAAGATAGCATTGGATGGGCTGTGTTTCGCAGTTTTGTTGCAGACCTGGCAAGATGGAGGGTCAAGAGGGTGTTTAGAATGGATAGCTGTCTCCAATGGTTCGGTCCAAGTGGGATCCCCGGGATTTGAAGCATGGGGGACCTCTGTTGAAATAGGCAAGATCTCGCCGGCGGGATGAAGAGTTCGGTGACGTGCCCGAGGCAGGCTGATGGTCTCGGAATGTCGTCCTGTCTTCCAGCCATTCCGAGTAGTTTATTCATCAAATGTTCAGGTCCTCGCGTGCGGTATTTGATCCGGTTGGTGAGGTTGAATATCCTGAGAGTTTTTAAACGTAAAAGTAATGTGAGAGACTCCATATTGTAACCTGACATGCACGTGGCTCTCAACGCAAATTGATTAGAGTTGGTGATTAATTCGTAGTATCAATCTATTCAGCTACTCTTATATGCGTCCTTCGCATCCAAAGCTTCAGCTTCCACGATATCCGATTACTAAGGCTCACTTCACCTAGTTGGTGCCGCCGCAGCCCTGCTGATCAGTCAAGGCGCCGTAGAAGCTCTCCTTATACGCAGCATCGAGATAGGTCTGGAAGTTGGCGTCAATGAACGGCACCTTGGTCTTCTCATACTCAACAAGAGACAGCGCGCGCTCAGCTGCGTCAGGAAGGGCATCCCAAGCCACGAGAGTGCGCTCAAAGACTTTGTCACCATCGGCGCCCGTGAAAGGCGACATGGCGTTGTCGTGAATCTGCATCTTGGGGTGCGTCGACTCTAAGTAGGAGATGTCACCAGTCTGTGCAGTATCCCATACCGTGTGGTCCCTGGTGAACGACACGCCAACGGGGAAGACGGCCGATACGTCCGTGTCGCCCTCGCAGCCCCATCGGTTGACCCAGACGACGATGCTGGCCCAGTAGTGAGTGTGGCCGTTGTCGTTGCCCTTGGCCCAGCGGACCTTGGGGAAGTAGTATGAGTACATGATGGCGGTACGGCCTTGACTGCTTCCGCGGCGGACGTAGACCTGTCCGGTTCCGCCGTTGCCGCATCCGCTTCGTCCGCCACCGGTAGGTCTCAAACCAGCTCTGTAAATGATGATTAGCTCATGCTATCTGTTATGTTGTTTCAAGATGTTTGTTGGCTTACCCGAGACTTCCAAAGGCGTCAACCGCCGGATAGGGATCACAACCTCCAGAAACGAACAGCTCAGGGTTGAACCGGAGCTGAAGTTGGCCCTCCAATCCCAGAGATGTTGCCTCGTTCAAGGCGGCGACCTTGTCGTGGTCGATCCAGTTGAGGGCAGTGCTAGTCGGAGCGGCTGAAGAAGTTGAAGTGGCGATGGTAGTGCTCCACGCAGATGAGGTGGTCACAAGAGAGGAGGCAGGCTCTGATGAGGTCCAGGAGAAGGGTGCGCTCGTTGAGGAAGGAAACTCTGATGGGGGAGCCGAGGATGACCACGGTGCGGAAGAAGTCCATGGGTCGTAGGTCTCAGATGCAGTCTCCGGGTCATAAGACTGAGAGGGAGTGGGGACCTGCGTGGGCGTCGCAGGCTTCTCGGTGGGCTTCTCAGTGGGCTTCTGCTGGGTGGGCTTGACCTCCGGGACAGACTCGGGCAGATCAGGCTTGTCTTCGACGGGATCCAATTCGAATTCGGGCATCGACCCGGCGGCCCCGGAGCCGGCCGCTGCCGACAATACCGCAGTCTGTCCCGCCGCGATGGGCAGAAGCGCACCAGAGGGCGCCATGACAAAGCCACCCAGGATTCCTCCGATAATAACCGCGCCGACAGCTGCGGCAACCGTCTCTCCGTTGCTCACATGGATCGGGGCCGGCGTGGACGACGGCTTCAGGGCACTGCTATGCCATGTTGAGGAAGGAAGTTGACTAGGCTTCCGGGTAGAAGAAGGAAGCGGGCTCCATGTCGGTTTCCGGGAAGAGGAAGGAGCATAGCTACTCCAGTGAGAGGAAGTGGTGATACGGATCGACTTGGAGAACGTCGATGGAACGTGAGATGACGTCTGATTTCGGGGAGGCACGACACTCGGGGCTGGCTTCGAGCCCGGGGCCGGCTTCACACTTGGGAGAGGTTTAATCCCAGGGCTGACGGCCCTCTCTGCCAATGCATCGCCGTCATCCTGCGACTCGGGGTTGTAAGGACTGTCGGGAGAGGTGACCTGACCAGTAATGGTCGTCGAGAGCAGAAGCAAAGTCAATGCGTGTCGGATCATGATGGGCAATTAAGGAGTGACTGGAGGACTGAGAAGGAGTGCAGTGTCCTCTGGAATATAGCTAGTCTGATACATGGCACGTTTTGCGTGGATGATTCCTTATATCTAGGACGGGCATTTGTGTCGATGACGGAGTTTCCGTCAGCTTGATAGCCTTACTTGCAATAAAATTGGCTTTCAGCGCCAGTTTTACTGAAAATTAGCATCTCGTAAGGATGGAGGCACACTCAACTCAAATACAGTGTGGGATGGAAAAGTTGTAGAAACTCTCGGTGAAATATGATTGACCGATTCAGTTTGCTCTACTCACTCAACGCCATGAACATAGTGCCTTGGCAGAAACTCCACATTCCCCAAAAGCCGATGATATGATATAGGGTAAGGTAATTGGAAAGGAACAAATGCGAGAGGCGGCGTTACCGACCTGCCATAGACACATATGTTTGATAGTAATATGCATAGCCCGAGTAGAGGTGTATGTAGCGACATTAACGCCTGAAAACTCGCCGATCACTCATTGAGTGCAACTCAACTTTAACGCTTGTCCGGATGCAATCTGCCACAGTATATTACTAGGCTTAGGAAACTCGAAACAAATGACTAACACCATCCGGAGCCTTTTCCACCTGCGGATTATCACAGCGGTGAACGAAGGTGCCACTCATAGAAGCACAGGCCGTTGAGTATCGGTGAGTCCGGCTACGTTGGAGAAGATAGGTAATTTGCAAGAATTCAGGCGGGGCGGGAATGGCCGAAGAAACCGAGTTGATCAGCCTCACAGACCGTTTAATCAAAGCTAGTTTGGGTCAACTCAATTCAAGCCCATATTAATTGTCACTC